AACTGATAGTTATTAAAAACATTCATCAATACTATAATTTTTACCGTCCCTTTCGGCTAATTAAAACGTAACCTTTAATTAAAAAAAACTATACAACGCTGCATTTGTCATATAAATATCTTTTCTATTTAATTGTAAAATAATATATTTTTAATTTTGGGTTGTTTTTAGTTACACCATTTGCATACTATAGAACAGTTTAAAAAGGTAACAAAGCACATTATTTTAATATTATTAAATAATAATTTATTTTATAGGTGTAAAGTTGACGAGGATGACTAGTTTGTGCAATAAATATTTAGTAAACGTAAATAATTCGGTTCATTATAATTAATTGTAAAGCTAATACTGATTTATGAAGCTGTGAGCTTCCAAGAGGAAGATACAAATTACAACATTGTCTCCCAGTGGAGAAGTTTATTTAGTTAATTATTTAACCAGCAGAAGATTCATTTGATGAACATCTCTCTAGAGAATGATAGCTTATTAATAAATAAGAAAGAAACACGTTTGCCTTTCTTTTTATGAACTATTGTTTTGCGTGACCAATAATTCTTCATCATTTGTAGTAAGAAATATTATAGTTTCACGTGTATATCCTGAAAATTGATTTTTGCGAAGTAGTTTGCTGAATACAATTTTTTTTGTATTTTATCAAGTATTTAATGAAAATAACAATATCAGCAGTATGTCACATTCTTTCTCTTGTTAGCTTGTCAACAACCCTTATCATGGGTAATATAAGCGGAGGGAGAAATTATTATATAATATGAAAACATAGCAAAAGTTGTAATAACTTTAGAACCGTAATTTATATAGCAATTGGAGTTGTACACTTTTATTTTGAGTTTAAATGGCTATTATAGTTGTATCATTCTTAGAATTAGTCATTTTTTCGTTTTGTAAATGAAAAATCGCCTCCCTAAGAACAAGATGAACACTCCCTGATGGAAAAAAACAACCCTCAGCACGGATTAGACTTTGAATTATAATCTTCTTTTACAATTAAAAACTTTAATTTAGGTGGAAATCTTTTAAAAACATTTAAACATAGTTTGATTAAAATCCAATTCATTAAAGAGACATTCCAATGTGCGTTGTACGGGTGGTTTGTAGATGATTTGCATGTAAATTACCTATCTCACGTACAAACCATGTTATTTGTCTAACGCTCTTCTGTCTTTTTACAAGGTTTTTTTTAAATGAATACTCTGATCGGAACATAGTTGAAACAAAGAAATTGGACATGAATACAAAATACTAACTACCAAATAAATCGACCAATGAAAACCATTTAACTTACTACAAAATTCTTTGAGTTTTCAAAAGTAATTTGTTCAAAAAAGGACATATAAACTATGTCAAAAAGAGCTTTTTAAAACAATATTTACTCTGTACATGTATTCTAGTGAAATGGTTGGGGAACATAGGTCGATTTACAATAATTTGAAGAATTCTTCATCGTTTGGACCTCAACGGTAGAGGTTTGACGTTGTGTGTTTATAGTTATGAAAAGTTGATTGAGTTTATAGCTATGAGTTTTCATTTTTTTACGTTGACATAAGTTTCAAAAATGCAAATATAGTTGAATATTGATCAATATTACTGGAATACAACAACAATTTTTGTACCGTTCTTATCATTATCAAAATGTATATATTCTGTTAGTTTACTTATACAAGAGGTATAATCTGTTCGTGGTTTTAAATTTAATCATTTAATCTTTTAGGCTTTCATACTAGTTTTCAATAAGTTATTTTATACTGTTATTCTAAAGATTTTTTTGTGGGTGCTTGGACAAAGATATGAACTGGGTTATAACATTTAACCTAACACAAAATTGATAGGGTTAAAGAAAAACTCTAATTGAAATGTAATAACGAATAGAAATTTTAATTACAATATAAATAATTTTCACAAGCATATAAGGTTCTGAATTTATAAATGTTCCCACCAAAACTAAACGATATTGGACAGCAAGATAAATGTTTGCTTTGCCTTTATATTTCTCATATATTCGCAAACCTGACCCTAACTCCTGCTTTCAACAATATTGCATTGAAAAAGTTTAAAATTTGTTTTGTGTTCAGGAAAACCATCTAAATTTGTATGCACGTTTTGATCAGCTGATTATTGAGAAGGTATACTTTATAGATTTATAATTTTATAATTATATATAATGTAAAATTAAAAGTGTTTCATAACTGTACAAAATAATAAAACAATAGGCAAACATGTAAATGACTATCTGAAAAGTATTGTAAACAAATAAGGATACTGTAATAGGTGAAGTCAATTACTGAATTATAAATAATTTTGGACGTTTTGCCTGAATTAAAATACTGTATAAAATCTTGGACATTAAAAACGTTGTTGGGATAGTTCAGCTCAGTCAGCCAGAATAAGAATTTTTAACTTAGTTACAAGTACAATTCAATATCTTAACATCCTTTACATCAGTCATGTTCATCAGTCAATTATGGCAATGTAAACATTGAAGTTACCATGTATTTTCATGCGGTCAAAATTTAAGTAAACCTTCTAGAAAATTAACAATTAATTTCAAAATTTGTATCCCAGGTAAATAAATTTAATGTTTTTAAACTTCAAATTATGCAAACAATCAACAATGCAGGTTGTTTGTCTATGAGATATTTGTAGTAAATTACAAACACTTTCGTATCAACTGAGCACTGTGTGCTTTCAATGTTGACACAGCTGCTAAGGTTCTCTACATAATAGAACAATGTGAGTACTATTTTGCCTTATTGGTTTGAGAATTCCACTTATAACTTAAATAGTTTTTAAAATAACACTTTAACGATTTTGATGCACTATTTCATTATGTGTTTAAAACTACCCTGTGACCATTTCATTTGCCCATAGTTATATTGTTGTTTCAGCTAAAGGAAATATAGGACTATAAGGTCTACAGAGGCTTGGGATGTAGGTAGTTATTTGTACGATGAAGATAACAAACACTGTTTTTAAGTTGTCAAAGCAATGACCTAGCGCTCTGTTCCTTTAAGTACTATACATATTATTTTTTTAATTATTAGTAGCAGCTGGTATTGTTTTACCTAACTGATCAGACTTTGATACAGGGACAGTAAGTCTCACTACAGTGTAGTAGGAAACTTCCCTATACGTTTGTAGAAGGAAAATAATAGATATAAATTATTTCATTACTTAAACGTGGAGCTTGGATAGGTGTTAGAAATCAAATTAAATATTCTTAGCATATTATTGGTCTTTATTTCATAAAAAACAATGCTGATTTTGTATGATGTAGAAATTACCTATAACATGGGAAATTTAAAAGCCACAGGGGCAGAGCCATGATGGAATTTCTTGAACACGCTTCTCATTGCACACCTAGAGGTTGATTGGAACCTTAATGCCAATTTCTGAGTTCTTACGGCTTGTAATTTTTGAGATACACTGATCACTGAGTCAGTGAATGGTGACTTTTATAAGTACAGTATAGTTTAACCACAACGTATATACTCGCTGTTAAGAAAATTAAATTTTTCATTTACAAGAATTTTAATAATATTAAATTATTCTTGTGATAATCCTAATGTTTGTCGTTGTATCATATTGTTAAGAACTTAAGATAGTGTGATGTTTCTATGTAATTATAAAATGTATTAGTTTTTATTTGCAATTCTGTGTGTAATGGTACTGTATAAACATCCTATAATAGTAGTGTAAAGGTGACTGCGTGTGCATTTCATTTAATAATACATCAAATACTGCAAAAGTTACATTCACAAAGCATACCAATCTTATTTTATGTTATATTTAGCCTTTTAAATTAAACTCTTTTCCTAATTTATCAAGGTTTCCAAGTAAAATTTTACATACTATAAACACGACGTATCAAATAATCATATTTAAACCTTTCATTGTGAAAATACAGATATTCCAAAACTATTTAAAACTGATGGCCACATTAAAAAAAAATATTTTATGCTATTTCAATTTTAAGTTTCCCTACACGATTAAACTCTTTGAGTTCAGTTAGTGAAAAAAGCGTGATCAAAGCTATACACTAAACTAACCTAACCTAACCTAAACTGTTTTTTCTACAGTTAAATAGTGTTGTCCCTCTCCACAGAAGCCCTCATTTGTCATTATACATTTTTTAATTACATCTTAAGACTATTTTTCATGTAATTACCCTAACAATGAGTGAATATTTTACATCATCATTTTGCATTATGTTATTTTATTTTTTGATCATGATGCACTTCGTCATGATATGTGTTTGTATCACAAAGAATATAATTTGTTATACCAACACAGTCGTATAAAATAAAAAAATAACATCCTTCAGAATCTTGTTTGTTTTCAATTATGATAGAACTATATTTTACACCATAAAAATGTAAAGGATTAAAATGATTATTTTAATTTGCATCACCGTCGTATTTTCTAGTAAAAAAATAATACTAACTCCCTAAGATAAAGATGATTTGGAGACGATATTCTTGGTTTTAAAATCGCCAACAAAATCTACGAAATTTACAAATAACAGCATGTTTAGTGTATATAACCAAAGTTTACACATGCTACGCAAATGAACATGTGTACAAATTTTGCGTAGCATGTGTAATCTTTGATATAACTAAAACACATCGGGTGCTCTGCAAATATTTGTTGGGCGCTCCATTTCTCATAACATCTTCCCTGTTCAAACACTATAACTGTATTACACGTTTCTGCACGAGTTCAAACTTAATGTACGGTATTTAAAGTAAACTTACCCCCATATAAATATCTTAAGACTTACTGTGTAAAAAACGTGTAGCGATAAATATATACTAACAATGTTTTTAGCGTCACTGTTTCAGTTTTACTTATCCAAAAATATATGTTTAAATAAGGTTTTTCGATGTTGATTATTGGTTACTAAACCAATGCCAATATTATTTGAATACAGATAATATAGTTTAAGAGTTTATTAATGTAATATCGAACAAAGTATGGTGTTTTAATCCATTCGAAATATAAACGTCGTCTACTAGAGTTTGTACAGTGTTCAAAGATGTAAACTTGATTTTAAACTAGTTTTAATCAACCGTATGCAACTTCAATATTTAACATGAATTTAATGTTTTATTGAAAATAATTATTGGTCTATATGTATATTTACTTAGCACACAATAATAAAACGATACCATATGCATTTTGAGCAATTTTAAGTGACTTATAGATCCAGTGTATCTGATACAAACCTTGTGAAAAAAACTGTTCTTAAAAACATAAGGAACTGTATTAGATGTTTTCGTTAGAAACTTTAATTGGGTACAATTCCTTTTCATAGGGATAACAAAAGTCAGGGTGCTAAAAATGTAGGGTAAAACGTTATTTATTAAACAGAAAAGCCTGTAACCACGTTATAATTCAATTCATTTGAAAACACACATTTGAATATCCTGATAAGTAAATCTACCCAACTGTTTCTTCAAACTAAAAATAAATAAAAAGGATGATTGACAACTTTTAAATAATCTGACAATAAGGTCAAGTAAAATTTTAGGAATTTAAATTCCGCAATTAATTCCTACTATTTGGCAAACATTTTTGAAATCAACCTCTGATCATTCTTTAAAGTGGGAAAATAATAGTTTATTTACATCAATAATACCTTCAAGTACACCTTACCTACTTATATGCCACTGTGGTGAAATTAAAATGTATACAATTTTCAATAAGCAACGCAGCACAGGCCTAACTTATTAAAAACCTTTTTCCAGTATGAATAGTTTTATTTAAAGTTTTATTGCCTTAGATATGCGTCTTATTGAGTAGGTGTTATTGATAAGTCTCTTTCAGATTGCATACATAATGTATTAATACGATTGTAAATATATTTACTACCATTAAATAATTTGGAATATTTAAAACCTAATGCCTAGCATTTTGAAAGAATCGGTATTAAAAGCTGAACCACCAGTCAATCCCAACGTATTGGTTTCATCGTTTCCGAAGTCAAACATTTTCTCCTCCTTATCCTTATCCTTAGCTATCCTCTGAGTTTCCTGCATATCCTTTCTCACCTCTTCACACTCCTCCTTGTTAAGACTCGCTTCTTCAGGTTCTCCTACGGGAGGGTAGGATCTTTCCTTACATCCTCCATCCCTCAGGATCACAAGTGAGTTTGGTTTGTTTCCCAGTATGCCATGATTGTCCCCAAGGTCTCCTCCGATCACAATTTTCCCATTTTCATTGACCACTTTTCTTCCTCTTCTGTTCTTCTTGCAAGGTAGTTCCAGTGTGTCTTGTACTTCGTTCCCGTCCACCACTATAGTCTCGACACATCCTTCGTTGTTGGATTGTAACAATGTTTCTACGGTGTAGGTAGGTCCTTGACTGGTTGAAGAACTTATGCCTGTAAAGAATACACATTGGTGTTGTTAACCGTGCTATATACTAATTTTATTTTATTTTTATTTTATTTTATTTTATTTTACCTTCCAATGGTCAATAACCAATTTACAATATGTTGTATAAGATGACTTAATCTAACTTAAACATATACATACAAAAGTAATTTTTGACAATGACATGCAGTAAGTAAATACAATTTGAGCAGGATCAAAATAGACGTACATAAAGAAAAACTTTAAATGACAACCAATTAAAAAGTACAATACTAATATTATTAATGTAAAATTTTGTTTGTTTGTTTGAAGTTCAATCACGCATTAACCACTGGTCGTATTGGGTTAAAATTTGGTATGAGGATAGCTCACATTCCCAATTAACATATAGGCATATTGGTATCTCAAAAATCCTTGCAGGCTCCACCCCAGTGACTACAAAAGTTGGTTCTATGATATTCAATAGCATTAAAAGATAATAAGGTTTACCAACAAGGCGCAGCACTATTAATTCTTTTTGCATTAATGAGAACAGCTAATTAGAACCAAGCAACAACGAAAAGATGTGAAAACTTTTTCTATAGTTTATGTGCAGTAGTAGAACATTATGGCTATGGTAGATGTGCTATACTTTAGTATACTGTAAATTATAATAAACCAAATCTTCTTAAAATGGGTCCTCTCCCATTGCATTTGCAAAGCACGAGTACGACTGCCAAAGGCATTTTAAATTTATACGCCAAGCCCATACGAGGGATGGGTACTCTGCCAGTACTATCAAAGGGAGTATGTTTTATCTATGGTACTATACATTGTTGTTGCAATTAGCGGATGCGTAGAGGAAACATAAGTTTAATTGGTACTTACGTATTATACGGAGGCCACTTATTTTACAGCGCGCTGCGGCGGTTAGGTTAGGTTGGGTTATCATAGGTTTTTATGACTCATCTCGTATAGTTCGATTCATAACGAAACTAGGAAAGTTCTACAAACATATTTATGATAACCCAACTTAACCCAACCGCCGCAGCGCGCTGTAAAATAAGTGGCCTCCGTATAATACGTAAGTACCGTTTAATTAATAGGAGAAGGTTTTGTAGTTGGTTTAAACATGTTTTAATCAGATATTAGTATCACTGTATTGTCAAACTTGGCCAGTTGTAAATTAAATTGTTTTATATGACTGCTTAAAAACACAAACATTTATACAGTAAGTAAAATAAACCTTATTCAAACAATAACATTGCCCTAGAAATCCACTGAAAAAAGCCTGCTGCTACTAACCTTAAAACTAAAAAGTGGAAAAGCAATATCATATGATTTTTTAAATAATATACTTCTTGAATATAGTTTGTAAAAAACTTTTAAAGGTTAACAAACCATCTTGATCGACCGCAATAGGTATACATTTATTATTTTAAAGGAATGACATCACACATGCTATCGGGTATATTTAATTTGATATAAATACTAAAGTTAATTCTATATTTAGTCTAAACCGATGATTAAAACATTTTGAAGTGTACGATTTTGAGGTCTACTTTTAATAATTACAGTTTAATTTTATCCTCTGTCATTACATTGTATTTACCCTCAAATATATATATATATATATGTGTGTACTTTATATTTGATATAAAAGTAATAGGTAATAGCATAGATGAAGTCTTCATCCTTGGTAATAGTATCATAATAAACGGAATAGTTACACTAAATTTTAAGTTTTGCTTTTAGTTTAAAAACAAAATAATATAAAAAATCTAATTTTGCAATAATTAAAATCAGTAGTGATAGGCCACAAAAATATTAAAATAATAACTAATAATAATTATCATGTTAATATTACACTTACTATTGGCAGAGTTAATCTCTGTAGATGCAGATTCAGTGTATACATTAGATAAGACTGCCAACTGTAACACAGATTGATAGTATAGTTACACCTCACTATATAGTAAAATTGAAAACGAATAATTTTTTTTAGGTTGGCTTAAGAACAATAGATAACGATTTCTAATGAATTATCAGTAAATCCAAATATATTTTTGACTGGCAAAGAACTTTCTAATAAATTTTACTATACTAAAGCTACGTAAAACGAAAAAAAATAAGCTATATTTATTAAAAGCAACACTTATTGCAACATTTGATATAATTTAACTATTATGAAATGTCATACTGAACCATAGATGAAATACTGCTACGGCTCATTTTTACTTGTAACTTACCAACACAAAACAAAACCCAGTTTTGAACATAATGTGTAAAAAGGAATGCACAAATGATAAGACCATATAACTGTGAGACATTGACTGGTGTCAAAGTATGAAAGTCTAAGAATCACATATGTTGATCTAAGGACCAAATAATGTGACTAATGACTACGTCATGGTAAAAACAGCAGCAACAATACACTCATCACTGCGTTTAAACAGATGTCAATGCGATCATACTAATTTTACCATGCACTTCACTTATGGATGAAACTAGTTTTATGCACAGTTTGGAAATAGAAATAGACTAATTAATTTTTACAACAAATCTGTTCATATATAGTATATATTTATATATATATAGGCCTATATATATTTTTTTTATTAAACTTGTTGTTATATAGGTTGCAACAAATATATATTTGAACAAATATATATAGAACAAATATATGATATTTGAAGATACAAGACATATTGTATTTTAAGATATATTATGCTTTTAGTTTGTAAAATTTTGCATAACAGTTGGTACTTAATAATTTCTTATTAATACACTATTATTCTGGTTTCTAGAACTAAAGAGGTCACTGTTGTTTTTAAAAGCAAAATATTTTGTATTATAGTGTTAGCTTTGTAGTAGGCCTTATTTGTAGTTCTGTATGGTTAGTGCACCGGTGAATGACCCTTCAATGAAATATTTCTTACAAAAATCATTGGCTGCCTTTGGACCAGTTAAAACCGATACACAAATAATCATGTTATGTATATTATTGAAATCATATCTTTCCTAACGAATGACCTGTTAAAAATCCTTAAAGTCGAAGCCGTTTACCCCATGCTTATAAAAACAATAACCATTTTAGGGTAGTTACATTTTCTTTTTCAAATACCACTGTTTTACCTTAATCGACTGTAAACTATGACTACCGGTCAAATTCTGGTTATAGAGTGTCCAAGTGGATTTCCAATGGCTTAGTTGTGTTTCCCATTACTTGTACTGTAAAAAAATAGTTTCCAAAAATTAATGAAAAAATTGATTATAATCTAGTATAAATAGTATCTGTGGTGTTGCAATCCAATTAATGACCGACAGCATAGTGAATTGTTCGTTTGGATTTTGATTTGAGAAGGAATACATAACCTTAACATTTTTATTGTGCATCGCATATCATGATATATAGTTTAGATTAATAATCATAGGACCATGGATAACCTAGTTTGTAGGATATGCTGCAGTGGGAAGCTTAAAGTTGAACTTAGTAAACTAATTAATTTTTAGTTTAATAATACAAAAAGATTTTATGTTCATCCCAGTCACAGGGAGGATATAAATAAGGCTCTAAAACTAATTTAAGGCCAGGTTTATTAGACTGAAGAATAGGCTAAAATGATGTTTTTATACGAAATGACTATTCACTTGTGTAATAACCCTATTATTAACTTTATCCACAATAATAGTCCCTATCTCTATAACAAAAAATTGAAATAATTGATAAATAACAATGTTAGGCATACGTCAAAAAATGATAACTCAATTCATTTAAATATGCAGTTAACCGAAAGAGTGTCATATGGAAATACGTAATAAGAAACACATACTATTTGGTTTTAAGGTGGTATCTTAATCTTGATTTAAAATTGTAAACGATTAGATACTCCGTTTCTTAAAAAGACTACCTACTAGGGTGAAACAAGTTGGAATAAACCTAATTAAAAGTTTTAGCTTCTATTAAAAGTTCTAACCCCTCCATCTATCATGCTGTGACATGTCGAAGGTTAAGGGAATTAAAATTTTAAATTCACTGAGAAAGTTGGAAATTTAAAACTGTGGAAATTACTTTTGATTTTCATATCAGTAATATAATAAAATGTTTATGGAATATTAATATATATTCATTATATATATACTATAGCATTCAATATAAATTATGATTTTAATGTAGTTAAGTTGAATTTAGTGGTGAATTGTAATTCATTCGATTGAATATTAAACTTTCATAGCTAAATATTTCAACTATTGTTTAGCGATCTGTAAATAGATCACAACTGAAAAATTATTCCAAATATAGTTATCATAGGTACAGAAAAGTCTAGGACTAGTTTAAAAAACAATGTAGACTCTACGTAAACGCGAGTCTAATATTGGAATTGGTAAATGACTAGCCAACAATTAATTTAATTGAGTACTTAAGGTCATTAAGTTAAATAATATGCTAGGTATATTTAAATGTTTCCTGTAATATTTCAGATGTATGGTAAAACACATCCAAAAGACTATAAAACTATACAGGGCTAGTTACTAAAATAGCTAACTAGCCCTTGTTATATGTAGTTTGTTGTATAGGATATTTATTATAAAGGACCATAATTGTATACAAACTACTATACATTGTACTATACATTGTTAAGTAATATGGTTGTTATAATAGTTTTTATCCATATGAAATATAATGTAATAAGAAAACGATATGAGATAGTTCAGTAGCTGATGTTTCTTAGGGAAACATGACAGAAAAAGGTATCGTTAAAACACGACTTGTACTACGTTGGCATCTGCCAAGAACCCGGTTGAACAGCGATCAAGCAGCAAATGACGCAGAAACCGATCCGAGGAACAGGTGTTTTGTTGAAGCGAGGATTTTTTCTGACAAATTTAAAAATTATTAATGGTGGAACTAGTTTTTATGTACATGTTCCCTGCTCCATTGAAAACACAAGCTACAAAAATAATATGTAATTAAATTGCACACTCAGTCCCTTTTACTGTAGGTAAAATTGGTACTTTGTTGGACATTGCTCGTTTGTTTTTCAAAAGTCTTGTGCATAGAAAATGCTCAGGTTGAAACACTTATTTATTTTATACTAGACACTTGTTTCATATAAGACTCGGTGCCCACTCATTTTACATCATCAGTTTACATACTATTGGATTGTTTCTTGTTTAAATAGAATTTAACAAAATTAACAAGATAAGTTGTATTATTAATTTAACTTGTTTTCAAAATATGTAAATGTTTTATTGAAGAAAGTTATGCAACAATGCAATTGACCACATTGTATTAATGATAATTGTAATGTTTTCGTTGATTTTAGAAGTAAATTTCTACCTAGATAAAGTAATAAATTTTCCTTTTGCATTCTAAGATAATGAGATATTGACTGAAGGGCTGTTGTTACCTGTACCTCACGCTTCCGTGCTTTGCACGCCTTTGCTTATTTGTGGACTAACATTTTTTGGAAATAGTATTTTCTGTATATTTGCTTTGCCTTAGGAATTAAATGATTCTTCTTTGTTTGTTTTTTAGTATTGAAAAAATATCTCAAAGATTTTTATATGTTTTGAAAAATTGGTTGGTATCTCGTTTATCACGTACTTTTCTATATGGAAAAGTTTAGTTTTTAATTTACAACCTAAATACATTAATTATTAACAATTAAATAAGTAAATTATTAAGAAACATTGCTATGGAATATATTTTTACACTTTCATTGGTTTATGAGATAATACCAATTCCAAGTAATCTCATTAAAGCGTCATTAAGACTTTACATGTCTCAGCCACATAACGTGTTGATCGTGACGTCACGTAGTTTCCGTATCTCATTACCAGGAAGAGATTGCATCAGTTCCTGTAATGTGTCTTAAATAAACCTAAGTACTGATAACAGAACTAATTTCTTAGAAATCTAGTTTTATAAGAAAAATAGTCTTATCTTCCGAAAAGCGTTAACGCATTAGAGCATAAGAACACTAAAATATTATATATTAAAGTTTAAAACAATTTTTTGACGTTATGATTTCTAAATCAAATTTTAAATGTGATTGTTAAACACTATTTTTTGTACCATCTAACATTTATATCTGTAAATTATGCCTGTATCAATTTTTTTTACAGTGTTTATCATATGAATAACTCCAGGACGTTTTAGTTGCCTGTGTTGATAGAGGGAGATGTAACGTCAATTTTATGAGTAAAAGCAATCATTTTTGTGTCATTCTAGCCTAGAAATATTTTTGTACTGACTTTAGTGCAAAAAGGACATGTATGATTTCAGTCATCTACAAAAAATATAGGTTTGTGGCACATAAAGCGTTCAACTTGTTATGAACAAGATTCCTCTGGAGGCAAGAAACATTTTTTTTTCTGATGGAAAATTTTTTCTCAAACATTCCAGTTACTAATTATTTATGATCACACGTAATTATAAATAAGTTACACAAATCATAGGTTTTTTTTGGTTAACGTCAGTAACTGTTTTTGGGAAACCAAATTTATTCCGCTCGAAACACTCTTATTTTTTCGGTATGTAAATATATTTTAATCCAAATGCTTACACGGAATAAGTAAAACGAGTACATTTATGATTTAATACCCAAACCAAACGAATAAACATACTAGTGTTTTCAATATAAGCTGACATAACAATGTATGCAGTAAATCTACATCAGTCAGGACAGAGTCTATTACCATTATTCCATACAACGCTACAGGGATTGCGGGCATCCGGTTTTGTTTATTCATTCGAGAGCCTTCTACCACTGTTGTCTGTGTGTAATTTGTATCCTAGAATAGTTTAGTAATTTTTGCTTTAGTTGAACTACATGTCTTATTTTTAATTATTGTACGGATTTATTTATAGATATATTGTTAATAATACTTGTCTATCAATTACTTTTACAGGTGTTAAATAATAACGTCAGTTGGATAAAAGGGCATATTCTTACGTCCTGAAATACTCAAGCAAAAGGAATTTATACAAAAAAAAAATGTCCATGTAAGGAGAAGCGAGTGTAGGAGTTTTGCCAACGGGTATCAGGTAGAAAGGGTCCCCATCCATGAATTCCACATACTGCGGAGTTTTGCCAACGGTTGTGGGTTGAGCGAGAGCGATTACACGTGACCGTGAGAGTGGCTTCCGCTAGGGGTGGACAAACCAGGCAGGATGCTGACTGTATTCAAAGTAATGGAGTTATGCATCTCTGACTGTGAAAGGAAATGTATTGAATTTTTAGCCTAACCTAACCTAACCTAACCTAACCTAACCTAACCTAACCTAACCTAACCTAACCTAACCTAACCTAACCTAACCCACTGCGACAAGCGCATAACTGCCAAGC